ATTGTCAAGGTTGAGAAACACTGGACTAATCTGTTTTGAGGCTACATTTGTGGCCTCTTGAAAGCTAGGTCTCACATTGAGAAATAGGGTTGCAAGTTTCTCACTTTGTCCCCCAGGTCCTTCTGAGATTTGCTAAATGTGATCTTAGCAAAACACCTTACATCTGGACTCAGGGATAGTTCTGTGTAATTTCATGCATACATATCACTCTTTTTCAATGACACATCAAACCAGGTCATAAAGAGACCGGGAGGCAAAGCAGGTTGAAGAAACATGGGAGAAAGGGTTAGGCACAGTAGTAACTACTTACATAATTTTCTCAAAGAGTAAAGACAGAGCTGCCCCATATTTGGGGAATGGGTTCCTTTAAAAATGTCAAATGTGTGATGCATAGATAAAGCCCTTTTGAAATTGCATACTCTTATCGTACTAATAATTGACTGGATAATTCTATTATTATTTTTCTGCAAAGTTGTGGGAGAAACTGGGAGAAAAATAAGACATTCTAAAATGCCACCAAGGTAGAAACATCTTCCCGCTGAATATCCAAAGCAGCGTTAACCTGATCTGTTTTTTTCTTGCAGGTTCTGATGGGAATTTTTCACCTCGGGTTTGTATCCGTGTATCTTTCTGAACCGGTGTTGGATGCCTTTGCCACAGGTGCTTCATTAACTATTTTAACAGCTCAAGTTAAATACCTCATTGGAATAAAAATCCCACGCGCCCAGGGATATGGGCTCTTGATTACCACTAATATTTTTCAGAACATTTCTCAAGCAAATCTATGCAATGTGATCACCAGCGCTATCTGCATTGCTGTCCTGGTCACCGCGAAGGAATTGGGAGATAAGTACAAACACAAGCTCAGGATCCCTCTTCCCACAGAGCTGGTGGTAATTGTGATTGCCACCCTGGTGTCCCATTATGGGAAACTGAACGAAGTTTACGCATCCAGCATATCGGGTGAAATTCCAACTGGATTTATAGCACCTAAAGTGCCCCCCTTCCACCTTTTGCAAAGAGTTGCTGTCGATGCTCTCCCACTCACCATTGTTGGCTTTGCTTTCATGGTTTCGATGAAATGTTTGCCAAAAAGTATGCTTATACTGTCAAGGCCAATCAGGAAATGTTTGCCATTGGCTTCTGTAATATCGTTCCAGCTTTCTTCCACTGCTTTGCCTCCAGCGCAGCTCTGGCTAAGACCCTGGTCAAAACGTCCACCGGGTGCCAGACCAGGTCTCCAGCATTGTAAGTGCAGTGGTTGTACTGCTTGTGCTGCTATTTTTTGCTCCCCTCTTCTACAACCTACAGAAATGTGTTTTGGCTTGCATCATAATAGTGAGTCTAAGAGGAGCTCTTAGAAAATTCAAAGATATTCCTTAACGCTACCGCCTGGATAAAGTAGATGCGCTGGTCTGGTGTGTTACCATGCTCTCATCTGCTTTGATCAGCACAGAAATGGGGTTGTTGGTTGGAGTTATTTTTTCAGTCTTCTGCATTATTGGCCGCACCCAGTGCCCACACGCTGCCTTGCTAGGGCAAATCAGAAACACTGTCTTCTATGAAGATGATGAAGAATATAAAGATCTTCTCCCAATTCCGAAGATCAAAATCTTCCGATTTGAAGCACCGCTTTATGATGCGAACAAGGACTTTTTCCTAAAGTGCCTCCACAACAGGACAGGGTTGAACCCTGCACTCAAAGTTGCAAAAAGGAAAAAATCCAGGAGGAAAGGGCAACAAAATCTGGATAATAAACTAGGACAGAAAGAAATGTCGCCATGCTTGGCTGCTGAAGGTGGTGACTTTCATACAATCATCATCAACTGTGCTTCCATTCCTTTTTTGGACACATCTGGGGTGAGCACATTAAAAGAAACATTCAAAGACTATCAGGAACTGGAGATCAGCATGCATTTGGCTTGCTGTAATCCTTCAGTGATATCTTCCCTGGAAAAAGGAGGCTACTTTAAGAGTGCAGACAAAGACATGCACAAATTGCTGTTTCATAGTATATCAAGTGCTGTCCAGTTTGTAAGAGAGGAAAATTACAACTGACGACTCTGTTGTCTAATCCAGTAATTGGCAGTTTGGTGATTCTGGGTTCATTATAGACAGACTGTGGTTTCAACATGCCTGGATTGAATTCTTCCTTGAAACCCATTTGGTAATATGGAACACATTCCCAAAGCCTTTAGTTAAGCAAAACTTAACTAACCCTCTCCCAAATGAAATCTTAATCAAATAAAGTTAGACATTGTCTATGGTTCAATATAACTAGAAACAAAATAAGTTTTGTTCTAACTGATCATTGGATAGTGTTTTGAACCCTGCCACGGGCTCCTGTGTTCCGCATCCTATTCTTCATTTAAAGGAAGGAGACCAAAAGTGTCCATCCTCAGTGCTGAAAAAAGCAATGTTTGCCATTACGTTCAATCTCAAGAAAATATGACTTATTTCAAGTGTTTCTTTAAGCAAATAAAGTTCAAGGTGTTGTTTGCTACATAATTTGTTAACTAGCTACAACTTGTTTTTTTAACACTAAACCATTATTTAGCAGTATATCTGCCTCGAGATATACTGTTCTCTTAAGTCTTCTTTAATGAAGGTGAGGTATTTCTTTTATGGAGTCTTGTACTTCTTTTTCTTTTCAAAGTTTCTTTTCAAGGTTTTATCCAGCATGAGGATGAATGAAAGCTCTATTTCTTGATTTATCTTAAGAGTAGTTAAGATAAAGGAAGAAACATCAGAAGCCGTGTTTAGAAGGGGCAAGCCACACAGAGAAAATAGCTTCACTTACTTATGTCCGAGGTTCTCTGCTTGCTAAATTGCAGAGCATTGTCTCCAAAAGCAGTATTTTAAATGTGTGTCCTATCAACAAGAAACACCTCACAGCATTTTGTGATTAAAGACAAAATTGATGCCTTTCACTGTAGCAGAAATAATCTTGCTATCTAGGGCAGACATGTCAACTTTTCCCCCGTTGCTGGCAATAGGGTGGGCGTGGTTTTCTCGTGATGCGTCTGGCCCGTGGGCCGGCAATTTGACACCCCTGATCTAGGGCATTTTAGTCAATAACAGAGAAGACTTAATTATATATTTTTTTCTAAACCATTATTACAGGTAGTCCTTGACTTAAGACCACAACTGAGCCCAAAATTTATGTTGCTAAGTGTGATAAGTTGTTAAGTAATTTTTATGCCATTTTATGACCTTTCTTGCCACAATTGTTAAGTGAATCAATGCAGTTGTTTAGTAACACAGCTGTTAAATCAGTGGTTCTCAACCTTTCTAATGCCGCGACCCCATAATACAGTTTCCCATGTTGTGGTGATCCCCAACCACTTATACATTGCTGGGTGCCAGGGGCGTGGCCAAGTGGGTGTGGCCACCAAGTGGGTGTGGCCACCAAGTGGGCGTGGCAAGAAAGACAGCCCCGGCCACCATTAATGCTGTGCCACCGCTGCATGTATTTTAATGCATGTTTACCCTGCCTTTAAATGTGGGACCAAAATTTACAGAAAGTTAGTAAATAATAAATAAGAACAGGCTGCTTTCATTTGAACTATAGATTATAGTGGGGACCTGGAGGGATTTTCTTTCAGTGAAGATAAAAGAAAGTATATGAAAGAGAGGGAATAAAAAGCAAAGCATAAAGGAATAAGAAGAGTGAGAAATGGCATGGAGGTTATAGGTTTCGTGGATCAGAAATAAACAAAACAATTAAATCAGATGTAAGAGAATAAATGGCAACAAATGGAAGATTCAAACTAGTTTTAAGGGAATAAAAGGAAATAAATGGAAGTATTAAACCACTTTAAACAATAAATGGAAGAATCAAAGCAGTTTATAAGCAGTTTATGAAGGGGAAGGGATGGAGATGGAGATGGAAGGAAGGAAGAAAGGAAGGAAGATTGAAGGGGAAAGGAAGGAGATGGAGAAGGAAGGAGATTGAAGGGGGAAGGAAGGAAGGAAGGAAGGAGAGAGAGATTGAAGGGGAAGGGATGGAGATGGAAGGAAGGAAGGAAGGAAGGAAGGAAGGAGATTGAAGGGGAAAGGAAGGAGATGAGAAAGGAGATTGAAGGGGAAGGAAGGAAGGAAGGAGAAAGAGATTGAAGGAGAAGGGATGGAGATGGAAGGAAGGAAGGAAGATTGAAGGGGAAAAGAAGGAAATGGAGAAGGAAGGAGATTGAAGGGGAAGGAAGGAGGGAAGGAGAGAGAGATTGAAGGGGAAGGGATGGAGATGGAAGGAAGGAAGGAAGGAAGATTGAAGGGGAAAAGAAGGAAATGGAGAAGGAAGGAGATTGAAGGGGAAGGAAGGAAGGAAGGAGAGAGAGATTGAAGGGGAAGGAATGGAGATGGAAGGAAGGAAGGAAGGAAGGAAGGAAGGAAGGAAGGAAGGATGGAAGATTGAAGGGGAAAAGAAGGAGATGGAGAAGGAAGGAGATTGAAGGGAAGGAAGGAAGGAGAGAGAGATTGAAGGGGAAGGAATGGAGATGGAAGGAAGGAAGGAAGGAAAGAAGGAAGGAAGGAAGGAAAATTGAAGGGGAAAAGAAGGAGATGGAGAAGGAAGGAGATTGAAGGGGAAGGAAGGAAGGAAGGAAAGAGAGATTGAAGGGAAAGGGATGGAGATGGAAGGAAGGAAGGAAGGAAGGAAGGAAGGAAGGAAGGAAGGAAGGAAGGAAGATTGAAGAGGAAAAGAAGGAGATGGAGAAGGAAGGAGATTGAAGGGGAAGGAAGGAAGGAAGGAAGGAGAGATTGAAGGGGAAGGGATGGAGAAGGAAGGAAGGAAGGAAGGAAGGAAGGAAGGAAGGAAGGAAGGAAGGAAGGAAGGAAGGAGAGAAAGATTGAAGGGGGAGGCACTGCGAAGGACACACAAGCAGCTGCGCACAATTGCCCGGGAAGGGGTGAGGCTCTGGAGGAGAGCCAAGCAGCGGCACATCCGGGGCCTCAGAAGCTGCGCAGAGGATCCGCGCGCCTCGGAACCGCCGGCTGCCCTCTCACACCCGCACAGGGACCTGGAGCAAGATGACCTGCCGGTTCTCCGAGGGGTGGCATTTATTGATGTGGCGGGTGAGGCTGGCAAGCTGTAAAATGTCACCGGGGAAGGCCTGGGCGGCATGGAGCACGCGCAGGTGACGCTCCTGACCGCTCTTACTGGGGAAGGTCTCCCCGCACACTGCGCAGAGGTGGCACTCCCCAGACAAGCTCAGCGGGCTGTAGCCGTCCAGCGCCGCCTCTTCCAGACAGGCCTCGGGAAGCGGGCAAGCCTGGGACAAGCTGTCAAGGGGTTCATGGTGGAGCAGCAGGTACTTAAGCAGGGCGCTCTGGTGTCAGAAGCGCTTGGCGCAATGCAGGCAAGTGAATTCCTCGGCTCCGGCGGCCTCCGGTTCTCCGCTGCTGCCGCCCCCACCGCTCCCGGGACTCGGCGTATCCCGCTCGCTGCTGCTACTACTGTTGCCACCGCCGCCACCCCCTCCCTGGGCAGTCTCCTCTGGAACAGGCTTGGCCTTGGTCAGTGCACCGGCGACGTACTCACCTTGTCCTCGAAGTGCAACTTGCGGGCTGCCTTGGCCTTTCTGCCCTGAGACCGCTTCGGTGTGCCTGGGCTTGGCCCATGGCTGCGCTGAGGGGCAAGCGGCGGGCCAGAAGCGATGGCGGTGGCGGCGACTGCCCAAAGCTTGAGGTCTCCTCCAGGGCCCAAGAGTAACGGTTCCAGTGCCAGGAAGGACTCGGCCGAGATGGGCGAGGCCAGGTGGAGGCTACGTTCCTCACTCACCGCTCACGCTGGACTGTGCAGCAGCGCCGGCGAAGAGGGGCCCTCTGGCATCCCAAATTGCGGCACCACAGGTGCAGGCAGAAGCACCGCTTCAGTGGATTCCGAGGCAGAAGCTGCGCTGGGGAAGTGAGGGGTGGGAAAAGGTGGAGGAACCAAGAGCTGCACTGGATCCCTCCTTCCAGCCCAGTGGCCGGGTAGCAGGAGCAACGCATCCGGTAAGAGATGGGCATAGGTCTGCGACTCCTCTTCACCAAAAAGCCCCGGGGCATCCTCGGGCAGCTCCGGAAGGCATCTGCGGCTGGTGATGCTGCTGCCTCAGTCTCTGAACAGCAAGCGCGGTTCTAGCATCCAGCTGGTCCTTCTTCGACCACCCCGCCTTCCCTCCGTCAGCCGAGCCAGGTGGGAGAAACAGAAGTGGTGGTGGAGGAGGAGGAGGCCTCTCTTGCTTTCTGCCTCTTGTTCTCTCTCGCTTTCTGCCACGTGCTCCTTAGTTTATATAGAAAAAAGCTGTGCATGCGCAAAGAGGAGGGAGGCAGGAATGGCACTTTCGAAAGCCAATAAGAGGGAGTAAGATAGCTAGGAAAAAGGGGAAAAAATGGCGGACTGCGTGGTTTGGCAACCCCCGTGAAATGGTCGATCGACCCCAAATAGGGTTGTGACCCACAGGTTGAGAACCGCTGTGTTAAATAAATCTCTCTTCCTCTTTGACTTTGCTTATCAAAAGATTGCAAAAGGTGATCACAAGACCCCAGCATACTGCAACTGACATAAATATGAGACCGTTCCCAAGCGTCTGAATTTTGATCACATAATCATGGGAACGCTGAAACAGTTGTGTGTGTGAAAAATGGCCATAAGTCACTATTTTCAGTGCTGTTGTAACTTTGAATGGTCACTAAATGAATGGTTATAAGTTGAGGACTACTTGGACTTTATTTTCGGGAACTAGGAAGAGCAATGATAGCAGCGTTCCAGTATCTAAATGGCTGCCATAAAGAAGAGGGGGAGGGTCAATCTATTCTCCAAAGCACTGAAAGCAGAACAAGAAGCAACGGATGGAAACTTATCAAGGAGAGCAGCAACCTAGAACTGAGGAGAAACTTCCTGACAGTTAGAACAATTAATCAGTGGAACAACCTGCCTCCAGAGGCTGTGGATGCTCCAACACTGGAAGTTTTTAAGAAGAGACTGGACAGCCATTTGTCAGAAATGGTATAGGGTTTCCTGCCTGAGCAGGGGGTTGGACTAGATGACCTCCAAGGTCCCTTCCAACTCTGTTATTTTGTAATAAAACAGTGTTCCAATCAATCTCATCTCCTGATGACTACATGGCACATCCTTGTGGTTTTCTGGGCACCAATAGAAAAGTTACTCATCACTGCCTTTTTCTGAAAAGTTTATTCAACTTCACAGTGTAGTTTCTAGCCCTGAAAAGTTTTGATGGTTTCTCATCCATATATGAACCGGATCTGACCCTACTTAGCCTGTAAGCCCAAGCCATAGGCCTTCAACAATTGCAGGAGATGCAGTATTCCAAAATTTTTGTTGAAACCCAGTAATTACTCTGAAATACTTTATGCAATAAGTGCCTCTCAGCATACTGAGCTATGTAAGCCATGGATGTCAAACTCGCAACATCACGTGACGTGTCGCGACATATTGCGACTTTTTTTCCATTGCCAGCAATGGGGTGGGCGCGGTTTCGGCATGATGCATCCGGCCCACGGGCCGGCAGTTTGATACCCTTGATGTAGGGAATTCTCAAACACTTAAAATAAAATTTTAAAAAAAGATAGTAAGAGTTCAATTCAGGATCTTTGTAAAAATTAATCTCTGATCAGAAGAAACTGTGTACAATTCTCCTTCCATACAATTGTAAAATTCCTCTTTCCTACATTTTGTCCATTGTGCTTTATTTATTAGTCTCAATTTTCTTCTCTTCCTTTATAGAATTCATTAAAAAGTTTTTATTAAAGGCCCTTTATGTACTTTTACATCTTATGCAATACTCTTCAATAGTACAAAAGGGAAATCACTGAATCACACACCGCAAAGTGTCTGTCCAGTATTTCTATTTTCCCCAATGGATATTCCCAATTGCTTTATAAGAAAATAGTCTTTCATCTTCAAAGGGGCTTCAGCTGACAGAAAACAAAATTTAGTAAGCTGAAAGTGTCCGCTGTAATAGTTGAATTGGTATCTCCTTTGAAAAACACTATGCATAATCATGTACATTTAAGGAAACCTTTTCTATTGTTTCTTCAGAGATTCATCACACACACACACACACACACACACACACATACACATTCAAATTACAGTTCTGATATATATTCTTGCAATTTTAACTCACTGTCTGAAAAATCTCTGAACTGGAAGACAGCTGCTTCTTTAAATGAGCTCCAAATGTTATTTTTTTAAAAGATAACTGTTGATTCAACACCCATCAGAAGACAGGGTAGTACATAGTTCTTCGCTACTCCTTGATATAAATTCTACTGAAAACTAATTGCTGTTCATAAATCTGGCTTGTACCTAAATAAATAACTAAATACATCTTATACCAGTGAGCACATTTAAGTTCCTCCAACTGAACTTTCCACTGAAGCAGGCACAATTCAAAGTACCATACAGAATCATATACACTCAAAGAAGCTGCACGGACCACTGAGTCCAAACCTCTTGGGCTACTCAGTACAAAAATCCAAATAAAACTATCCTCATTAGTGCACTCTTTGGACTCTGCTTGAATACATCTAGCGAAAGGAATCTAGCACCTTCCTGGTAATCATCTCACATCCCTCACATTTCTCCAAATACAACCTTGCTCACCCACTTTCTGAGGATGGAAATTAAAAGGCTAGTCAAGAATGATGGACCCCTATCTTAATTGACATGTTTTATCTGTCTGGCTTGCACTGTTTATTGCTTTGTGATCAAAGACAAACCACACTGTGACCACAGAGCAGCCATATCAGTCTGTTTTTCCTCAGAAACAACAGAAGTATCATCTCTTTCTACTCTATTGTGAGAGGCTACATAGACATCTTCTGAATTTACAACCACAAGAAAATACATGACCATAATCAAGGGATTTCACATGCAAAGGACACCTCTTAATTATTCAACCATAAAATCACCTTTAAAGCAAAAATGCTGTCCTAAGCATTTTCTAGGTAGCCCCTGTAGTAATCAACCAGGTCCAATGCAAACTGAGATGTTATGTTTTAGAATATGCTAAATGATCCCTTATGAGTATGCATGCTGGGAACTCTTACAAAAACATATTTCAAAAAACATTATCTAGTATAAGACATTTTTTGAAAAGCTAGTTTTTCGTCCAAACTAAGCATAGCTTACAAATGGTTCCCAAGTTGTCTCTTAGTCACACAGTTCTTTCTTTAATTCAGAAAAAACTTTTTGACCACTTATACAAACCTAAAAAAAACCCCTACTGTTGAGTCCGTGGCGGGAAAACAGACACGAGAAGCAGCTGGAGTTCTCAGTTTCATTTATTCAGCGTTCAGCTTATAGGAAGATGGCTTCAGCCTCGCCCAAACGCCTCGCAGCATCTTATATAGGCAACTCCCGGGTAAATGGGTTACTTTTCCCGCGCCAGCACCCGCGCATGCGCACGGCGCTGGCGACAGCCTGTCTGGTCCCGGGCAGCTTTGCACCTGCCCGGGACTGCCTGCAAACGCCCGAGCCGTTTGCAAGGCTCGGGACATAACACCCCTTTCCCCCGGGCTAAAACTACTACCAACATACACCATTTATTTTATATGACATTTTGCTCCCCAGGCTCCCACTGTTTACTGGCTTTTGCCTTGCCAGCAATGTTATGTAATCTTCTAGATACTTAGGAGATTTCTTTGCTCTCTGTGACCTTCTTAGCTCTGGGTTACTGGCATAAGTCCCCTGACTGGAGGGAGGCGTGAGCCTGTTCTCTCTATTGTGCCCTGGTGTCTTCCAAGGACTGTGCCCCGATGCCTGGCCTGCTTGCTTGACCACCGGGCTCGTCAGGCCAGGGCTTCTGTTACTTTGTGACCTGGTTGACCTACCTAGCTGTAGACCCTCAGGCCCCTTGAAGTGATAGCCGCTGCTGGGCGTCTCTGTAGAACCTCCTAGGTCAGTCCAAGACCTGTCAGGCGGCTGTCCATTCCCGAACCCCATTCTGTGTTCGGGCTCGTGTGGGTTTCTGTACTTTCCCAAAACTCAGGTGTTCCCTGATTTGTGCTAGGGTTGTTGTAGTCGGGACTTGGTTCCTCGACTATCTCTGTGTATGTTTGACCCCCTGTAGGATTTGGGGTAAGGTCAGGCCAACCTTGGGAATTGTGTGCCAGCTCTCTTGCGGGGAATGAATTGTTGGGATGCCCCCGGGTATCCTCCGTTGCTGGAGTGCTGTGTGATGTGTGTGGAAAGTGAGTATGCCCCCGGGGTGACTCCCTGGCTGAGAGCGTTGAGTGCCTGTCAGTGTGTGGGTAAGCTCCATGACTTTCTTTTCGGAGCAATTGCAGAAACCTCTGGGACGAAGCGTTTGTGGCTCCTCAGTGGAGATGTGCAGTAGCTCTTGCCCTTCCCTTTGCTCCAAAGGGTCCCCCCTCCCCCCCTGGAAAAGACCCAGGAGTCTCAGCAGAAAAGTCTCGCCTAGAGCGAAGTTGGTCGATGTGACGACGCAGGACACGACCGTTGTCCAGGGCAACCTCGTAGGAGAGAGGACCTGTGATCCTGGACACAGAAGCGGGGACCCATGTATGACCAGGCCCGTAATTGCGAGCCCAAACCGGGGCACCAACAAGTAGTTGTCTAGGTGCCCTAGGATGTGAGGTAGATGAAGGCAGTCTGTCCGGATGCAACCGGTCAAGTCTAGTAGTAAGTTGGAGCCCCCAACGAAGTTCAGCTGGACTTCTCACTGTAGAAGTGGACGGTGTGGTGCGATAAGAAAGGAGAAAGTCAGCCAACCTGCTGGGAGGCCAGTCCCCGTAGGGGAGTTCTCTTCAAGGCGTCCTTTGCGATGCGAACCCTGCGTTCAGCCATACCGTTGGTGGACGGGTGGAAGGGTGCAGACGTTGCATGACGAATCATGTTAGCCTGTAAGAAAGCTTGGAATTCGGAGGAAGTGAATTCAGGGCCGTTGTCAGACACAATGACATCTGGAAGCCCGTGTGCAGCAAAAAATCCCCCTCAGTACCTGAATAGTCTTTGCAGTGGTGGTGGATGAGACAGGTACAACCTCAAGCCATTTTGAATGACTGTCAACGAGGACCAAGAAGAACTGGCCCTGAAAGGGCCCAGCGTAGTCAATGTGCACCTAGACCATGGGGACTGTGTATCCTCCCATCTATGCACAGGAGCTTGGGGCATCTCTGGGTGAGAGCGCTGGCACAGGTGGCATGCATGCACCTTAGCCTCAATGTCTTTATCTAAACCAGGCCACCACAAGTGGCTGCGTGCAAGAGCCTTCATGCGAACAATGCCAGGATGACCCCCGTGGAGGGATTCTAAGACCCTAGTCCTCA